ATGGACCGTGTTTATGGGTGTGCTTTGAGGACTGCTTTAAAGGGTGCCTGGGAGTAAACATATGGTGCAAGAAAGGCACCAATCATATGTGGGAGTGAAGAGGAAGTCAAAATATATACAATGTAGTGGCTCCCCATGACTTAAAAAAGGAGCAGGGCGGAGGGGGACTGCACTCAATGGGCACTACTACGTATCTTATTCAGATGATCTGCACTAATGTATCCTCGTGGTAAGTTCTAGTCAGCATGCTTAGTGTTGGCTTAATCAGCTTCATAGCTGGTTTCCATTATTGAGCACATGCTGCTTTTGACAGGAGCTTAACGATAGCCTATGTTGTTAATGAGGTTTCTTTTGTATGTAGCTATAATGGGGGGCCAGGGTTCCTAGGCTGACCGGGGGGAGGGGGAACCTCATCTTGTATTTAACTACATATAGTATATACGAACAGCCTTGATTATCCCCAAACTTCATTTTTCAGCAGATAAACTATTAATCCAAGACTATTCTCCCAACTTTATTTTTCTTTCATTCCTTTCCCAAAGAGAACTGATGGAAGCCTTATTTACAGGAGCATTTGAATTAAAGCACAAACAAACAGTGTCGCTATGTCTAATGGTATCACACAGAGAAACTTCATCAGGCAACATACAAACAAGTAACAAAGACAGCCTCTTCCTCACACAGTCTAGGTCTAGCCTACCAAATCCTGTGAATTCAGGTGATAAAATATCCTGATAACACATCCAACAGTGGAAGAATCCTTGACCCCTCCAAGGTGATAATTTTATGCCCTAACATGACCTGCTTTATTCTTCTCATTCTTTCAGCTCTCATAGCTACAAATATTAAAACATTATGAAATCACTTAGCTCCTTTTACAATCCAGCCATGGTTCTCTCCTCCTCTCTCCCTTTCAAAAAGCAAGTCAGGTGCAAAAAACTCAGTAATTTGTGCTTAATAATCAGCCGTGGAAGGCAGTCTGCTACTTAGCAGCAGATGGTTGAGGTGAAAACAATGTCAACATAAGGAAAAACAATGTATATTGAATTTAAAATGCTGAAAATCACTCCAGAAAAGTCCATTTTCCATTCTGGAAGATGCTTAATATGTAGCAGTACTGGCAGGAGCCCCGCTCCTCCTTTCCCGTGTGCAGTTGAAGAGGGGAACTGAACATCGCTCACACTCTGTGATTATCGCTGCTCTGCTTCATAAATGGCTTCTTCAAACATTTCCACCACTAGTCTAGCATTATGAGGAAAGACAGCAGAGCCAACAAGGGGATGAGAAAACAGCTTGGATGCTTTGTAACAGGAGCCCCTGCCATTTTCTGGGGATGCATTTGAAAACTAATGAAGTTCTTATGTCTGGGAATGATGTCTGACCATAGCAACATTACAGCAATCAAAGCTCTTCCAAGGGCTCCAGCTCTTGCTTCCTTTAAGTCCACTTCCTTTCCCAGCATTGTTTTCTTACGCCGCTGCTACAGCCTTTCTTTTTTTCTGCTCTTTTCTTTTTTTGCAACGTGCAAAGGGGAAAAATTCAATTTCTTCCCCAGGGGGGTGGCTAAAATGATATTGCTGGTGTTGATAAAATGATGCTGTTGCAGCAAGTCTTTCACATGGTGTTTTTCCTTTATTTCTTTTGATAATATCTTTTAGTTTGGTTTCCTTTCTCTGCGGATTTGCATCTGACTCTCTTCTGAGCTGTTGCTAGACAATGAAGTCACAGCACTTACAAGTAAAAGGAGGGATGGGGAGAAAGGCTAGGCTGGGCTTACTCCTATTCTGCAAAACACAAATAGTTTCAGCAACTTTATTGCCACCTGTCTGGAAGAATTGCAAAGGGCCTGAACCAGCTGCTGCTGCAGTCCGTAAAAAGACTTCCCTTGGTTTCAAAGAGCACTGAATGACCTGCAGTCAGAAAGCACAGCTTTGGCATGTACCTTTGATGGATAGTCCTTCAACTGCTCCTTCATCCCCCAGCTACAAAGCAAACAGGCCATTCAGTATTTTGCACGCTGATCATCCCTAACCAGCTAAGACAAAGTCCACTCCTTCCCTGTTCTGTTTAAAATATTGTTAAAAGTTTTTTGTGTGCATTTTATTCCTATAGGTACACTGCGATGAGCAACACAATGTAAAAAGTGCCCAAGCCTAGGCATTTTCTTAGTGCATGTGGTACGTCCTGTCAGGAAGGAGGTCTAGAAACTTAAACCTTTCCCGAAGTATGTATCCGCTTCTCACCCCCGCTTTGTTCTTTCAAAGGACACTCACCAGCAGAGATCACATCCAGTCCATGGAGTCTCCAACCTGTGTCAGTCCTCTGCCATTCTGCAGACCCTGCCACTAATCATTGCAACTGTGGTGGACTTGAATGCAAAGTGGATCTCTGCATATATGGGATGACTAGTTCATTGGACATAGACCAGAAAAAAAACACGTTTGAGTGACATTTTGTGCTGATTCTTATCTAGCAGGGACCAGATTGCAGTTGTGCCAATTGGATAATAAATCTTGTAAACAGTGCAAATTTTGTGCCATTTGAAAGCCACTGACAGAGATGATATGGGTATAACAAGATTTCACTCTTGTGATCATGGGTCACACTTGAAGGGCTCACAGCCTCTTCTTGCTACTGTGGCTGACTACCAATCCTCCTGCCCTTGACTTTGCTGAATCAATACCACTTCTAAATCATTCTTCCCAAGAGATGGACACAAGTTGCTGCTTCTGTTCACTGCTGGAACATAAACCGCCCCAGGTGAGCCATGGCAGCAGAGGAAGGGTGAAGGTCAGTTGGAATAAAATAAAAAAGGGTCACACAAGTCATTCAAGTAGTGGGTCTCAAACTCTCTGCTAGTGTGGACCACTTTGCTGTCAAAAACAGTCTTACAGAGCCTGCTAATTTCATACCTTCCCTCCATCAGGTATCGTGGCTACATAAAAAAAGCCAGAGCACAATGCATACAAAAGAGAGTAACGTTAGAAAATAAGTTCACTTAAATGTGAGTGCCCCTCTATTTGGAATCAATGCTGTTGATTTCTTCACCCTGTGGTATAGGACTGGTTACTCTTGAATCTCTCTTTGTTGCCTGCAGCTCCCACTGCTCTAATCTCTCCAGGTTGCTTTGCAGCTTGATTAAGTCCTGCTGTGTGTGTTATACCTCTTCAACAGAGCTGTCACCTGTGCATTTGATCACAGCTGAATTCCAACCATAAGAGACACCCGACAAAGCCATGCCATGCCGGGAATAGAGATGTTTGGGTTTCTGTTGCTATAGCAACGAGGTCTTTAAAAAAAAAAAAGCCTTTGGAAACCCTGGTCAGGGCTTCACCTAGCAGGATGTGACATTGCTTGACAGATACTTCATTGGTAATGACAAAAGCAGATCTGTGAACCACAAGTGATCCCGGTAGTCCATTAGCCCTGGTTGGAGAGCCACAGCTCTAGGGGACAAGTTCTCACATCTGTATATCTTTTACATTTCCAACATTTCCTTTTCATTGAGCATTGGATATGTTACACACTAAACAACATGGCAGCACCCAAGGATTATGATACCATATGTGAACACCCTTTCTGATCCATCTTCAGTGCCTTTTTTTTTACACGGGCTTGGGGACAGCCTCATTTCAGTATTCATTGCTGTTAAATGTTCACTTACCTCTTAAAGATCAACATCATCCATCATCCATCCCTCCACCACGTGGATCACGGGGCGTGGCCAAAAAGTAAGGTGCTCATTTGGGCAGAAAGGCACCTGGCAGATTACTTTTTGCTCTCTTCTCCGACAGGACTACAGCTCTTCTTCCCTCCTGTCAGCTTGGTGCAGTGACAAGCAATTCAGTTGCCACAGAATTTTTTTCTCCTCCGTAATAGCAAATTAAAGGCAATTTGAATTCAGGACCGTTTGCGTAATGCAGCTTTGTGCTTGAACTCATTAGACAGGTGCTGCATGTACCCTTGAAACACTGATGCAACATTAGGAGTGGAAAAAGCAAACTGAGATCCTGATTCAGGAAACTCTCTGCACTCCCTATTTTGCACATTTTGAGCGAGGGTTGGGCAATTATTTCGGGCGGAGGGCCGCTTACTGAGTTTTGGCAAGCCATCAAGGACCACATGACAGGCAGCCAGGGGCAGGTAAGTATTAATTTTCTAAAATTTTTAGGGCCCCTGCGGGCCGGATAGAATGGCCTGGTGGGCTGCATCTGGCCCGCGGGCCACATTTTGTCCACCCCTGTTTTAAGTCGATGAGAAATAAGCATGTGTTTGAAATTTAGCTCTGTGCATTTATGAGCTGTCCCATACGGGGTCTTTAAGACTGTAGCCTTTCTGGCAGTGTCTCTGCTTACCCTTACAAGAAGTTCCTTTTTGCAGAAGAAGAGGAAATATGCAACATTGTAGAGCAGGAGTCATCAGCCTATGGCCCACAGGTCGAATCCGGCCCACAAAGGCACTGACCCGTGAACATCTGAGTCAGCCCTCATCTTACTAAGGGCATGTCTTCTGCTAATGGTGTTTTGATTGCCTCTGGTCCTCCAACCAGCTGCTACAGCCCACATGGAGGGTTGCTCTTCCTCACTCCAGTCTCTGCTCAGGGTCTCTAGAGCGGCTGGAGAGGAATGATGGACTACAGCACTGGCCCGGTTGCAACCTGTGGCCCTTGTTTGCAAAAGGCTGCTGCCCTGTGTTCTGGAGCATGGTCCAAGCTCTTCTGAGATTCAACTTGCTATCTGAAGACTGGAAATGATTTACTCAAAAATAAAAAAGATGCTTCCCTGAAGTAAGGTTCTGTAAATATTTTCTATGTAATTTAATAAAGGTAGATGGCATCTTTTCATTTTCTCTCTGGTAGCATGGCAGTAGGCCCAGCATACTGAATAATAGGTGAGGGATATGATGTCTTACACACAAATCCAATTAAATTTATATACAGGGATTCATGGCATATTATATACTCAGACATAGACCAAGCTCCAAATAATCAACACTTTGGCTTGCGGTATTATATTCTGCAACACTCAACAAGCTGTCATCTGGGAAATATGGTGTACTAAATGTTATGTGGTGATCCATTGTGTTTTCCCTCCCAAGCCAAGTTTCATTAAATGGAAAAAAGTTAGATGTCACTAAAAGAAATTCTACCAGGATTGCTCGCTCTACAAATCAGCAGTGTGACTGCTATTCGGGATATATCAGAGAATTTCAGAATAAGAAACCATTAAATTTGTGGCAGGAAACCGCCATCATATTAGATTGTCCAATAGCTCAGCTGTCTAAGCATTTAAAAATGGGGTAATCATCACCGTTGGGCTCAGTGCAAGTTCTGTTCTTTCCATGATAAAGATGTCTTTGAAAACACCATTAGTTTGGATAATTCTTCTTCCATCTTACTCCTTTTGCTTACAGAAAAGCTCTTGAGGTCCAAGCTCAAATCTAGTTTAGATCAGAACTTGGACAAGGCCTTGAAATCTGTCCTTTCTTGATTTTTTTTTTTGGAACCGTGGTGAGGGCTTGGGTTGGAAAATGAAGGAACTTGGATTTCTCAGCCCTCAATCACTTGCGGTCACTTATATTTAGGTCTTATCCCAGTCCTGAAAGATTTTAGTTTTCATGATAAATTTGGATGAGACCTACTGCTGACCATTCTCATAGAATTACATGGTCTTCACAGGATTTGTATCATGTTGGGCAAACATTTCACAAGAAATGCTCCTGATATTTTAATTCTATTGAAGCTGAACCCTAGTCCTCATTCAGAGGCACTTTCTAGTCTGTTTTTCTTTGCACAAAATGGTATCAACCTCCTTCTTACATTAACTGGGTATGTCCACTTGCGATGCTTCACTGTGCATTAGACTAATCTATGGCACAGTAAAGCATCACCATCTACACATGCACAGCAATACCTGCACAGTAGATTAGACTAAATGCACCATTTTCTAGTACCTTTAAGTACAGGTACTAGAAATCGGGACATTAAACTAATGCATCAAAATCGATGTGTAGAAAGTGGTAGACATGTGTAGACCCCTCTGTGGTTCAGATTTTAATAGAATTAAAGTCTCAGGAGAAAATTGCTTCCCGTCAGCCTAGGGAGCCCAAAGCCGTAGGGGTGGGGAGAGCTGTACCAGCTCGGTGACCAACTGCCTCCCAGGAGATTGAGACTCATCCTGGCAGCCAGGACAGCTCTCCCCTGCCTGGGGCTGGCACTCGGTAGAGCATGGAGCTTCCCCTGGCTGCTGCAGAGGGACACAGCAGGGCAGAAGCAGCCCTGGACTGAACTGTTCCCACTGGGAGAGAACTTGCATGTTCAGATGCATGCGGGGATGCAGTTTAATTCTCCTGAATTTTCTGCCCAGAAAATTCAGGTGCATTAATGGCACACATAGATGCACCTGCTGAAGTGATGCCATTCTCACTGAAGAGCGCACCAGGATTTTCATTTGAACGTGTGTTTCTACGAGGGGTCTCTGAAGTCATCTCACTGCCTCTCCTCTTTCACCTTTTAAAAGTCTTTAAACAATTTGTTACAAGGCCCCAAACATGATCCGTGTCAGAAGTGCATGCAGGCAAATGGAATGATCTTATCTGTGTGCTGTATCTGCATCCAGCAATGGCTGACAGAGGTAGCATTGGATAGTTGAACCTATTTTATTAAGGAAGCACAGCTGGGTAGGATGCCAGGCTTGTCCCTTGAGCTGTTTGAAAAGTGCCAGGACCTCTAATTCCCAACTAGAAACACCACCAGAGAGTATCAGGAGGAACCTTCATTTAAAAACCGCATTTGAAGGTCAGTACCTCTTCTGGTAGAGCAGCGTTACACTGCAGTGTCAGCACTGGTTATGAGCCTAGAGTCGAATGTAGGGCTGGAAGCCATGACCTCCTAAACCGGAGGCAAGAGTGCAGCAATGGAGCCAAGCTGAGGCTAATTAAGCCCTCATTAAAAATGAAGGGTTTTTTTCTGACCCCCAGCTAGAAATGTGCTTTCCTGTGCAAGGCTTTATCATGCATATTTCATAACAAATTTTAGCATGTGGACTTTAG